CGAGATCAGGGATTTTGGAAACTCGGATAGGAAATTGTTGGCGCGATTGCGCGCACGGTTACACCGATATTCGCTGGATAACGGGTTGCTGTGTTATAGCACCGATTCGACGGATACGCCACGAATTGTAGCTCCTCACAATAAAGATTCGAAACACCGTATCCTCTATGAGGCTCACGCCACTTCACTCAGTGGTCATCTCGGTCGTGAGAAGAAGCACAGCTCTGCGAGTTGCCGCTACTGGTAGTCCAAGCTGTGCAAATGGACGAGCACACATGCGCGCACGTATGAGATGTGTCAGAGGGTGAAATCCTCTCCGAATGTAGCGGCACTGCTGGCCAGGGTAACTGTACCCTTCGGGTGTTGGCGGTCTATGAGTATGGAAGTGTGTTTGGTCTCGGCGGGCAACACGAGGATGGTGGTCTTTGCGAACCGTTTGAGCAAGATGGCTCATCTCGCAGCAGTGCCGGACACCATCGACGGTACGGATGCGGCGACGCTGTGTGTGGGTCGTGTCTTTTGACAACAGGGACTCCCGAAGGCAATTATCTTCGATAGAGACCCACGCTTCACTGGGAAGTTCCGGTCTACAAACTTCAGGGTGCTGGGCACCAAGCTGGATATGTAGCAGCGGACCATCTGCAGACCGATTGTCAAACTGAGCGCGTGAAACGCGTCTTTGAAAATGTTCTTCGCAGCGATTGCGTTGAGACGCCGAAGCGCTGGATCGCCGTGCTGCCACTTGTAGAGTTTGCTCCGAACAGTGCAGTGTATTCGTCTACCGGCTACACGCTTTTATACGCGAACGGGCTTGTTAATCCTCACATTCCGCCGACGCCGCCATCCCATGATTCAGGGCTTGTTGGGGGGAATAGCCAAACGGATAGCTGATGTCAGCCCCCCTCACTGTCCGTGAAGAAGTCGATGACTTTCTGTCTACCAGACCGCGTTCGTGATGCCATGGCTGAAAGCCAAACATGACGGAAGATGCAGAGGAAATACTAAAAACGCTTCCTGAATTTATTATATGCTACAAATATTCTTACACATGCAGTCTCTGCTATCCTTGAGACGAAGCTCCGTCCACAAGTTACCGGACCTTTTGAGATCGAGAGCAAGCTAGGCCTTGTGTTGACGATCAATCTTCAGAGATGGATGCGCACCCACCCGGTGTTGTATATAGGCTTGCTTAAGCCGCACCGGGATCTGGTGCAAGTGAACCCGAAGCGTTGACGCCGAAGCCGCGTGTAAAGAGGCTCAACTACCCAGAAGCTGAACCAGCAACTGGATTTGAGTACGGAGAGCAACGATCTCCGTTTCCAACGGCGCCGGCGCTCCACCGTCGCACGAAGTGACGTATTCGTCTGCTCGACTGCTACCAAAGTGTTACAGGCTCTCGAGGCATTTTGTTTTGCACAGCGGTAGGCGACCTCGGCAAGATGCTCGGCGGAGTGCCGATTACGACGGACTTTGTCCCCCAGAGCTCGAAGAGCATCGCAAGTCACTGGACGGCGATCGACCAAGTCGTCATCGTCCGCCGCCGACTCCTCTCGATTAGAATGGTGGCGTCCAATGTCATGTGGAACGCCTTACGGGTCGACGTCGTCGACAGGGCCTAAATCAATATCTTGTGATGTATATCCAAACTCCGAAAACTCGTGGGAGCTTGAGGTGCCACTTCGACAAGACTGCCCAGATATCGTGGGCGCTTATGATCAGATGAATAATGACGCTTTGCGTCGTCGTATGCTCCGCACTACTCGGCAATACACAGGGAAGCCGAAGGGTCATGTGCTGAGCTCAAGCTATGACCCTGAGCTGTTGTGGTCGTAGATTCACCAGCGTGAGAAACCACAGAGCTTGTGAGAGCGTGATAGAATTTTTTATATGTCACAGGGCGACAATACACAGGAAGTCGGCTTTGTGCCTTGAGTTTAGCAAACTCAAATCTCAGATGGCGCTTACGGGCATGTCCACTTCTATGTGGCTTCGCTGTAAGGTAGACGGCGAGGAAAGCTTCCGGTGCCGCTGCACCCATCAATCAAAGAGCTCTTCATCATTTGCAGCAATTTCTCCAGGGGCGAGCACCACATGAAAAGTCCGCATTGCGGGTACAGGAGTGCCTCCTCTTTGAGCTCGAAGTCGAGCGCGGTACCTATCCATTGGGATTTCTTGACGTAACAAGAAGTAAAGCTCAAAGGACTCTCTGCTGGTCAAGCTCAACTTGTGTAGTGGTCGGGGAATTGACAACGTAGAATCATAGTGATCGAGTGATCGCGTCTTTCGCTTCCGCAGCGGGATCCGCCGAGCGGAAGCCATGTTTTACACGAGGGTCTATGACCGAACGTGGATATGAGCGCATCAGAACGCCTTGTACGCATCCTCCAAGTGCTGCTCCGATGCCTCGTCGATGCAATTTTTAATAATATTACTTCCCTGGAAGTCGAGAGGTCGGGGAGCGGACACGGTGTCCGCAAGGTTCGAGCTGAGTTCACGTCGCCCGAGGCGGGCGGAGTGTGTGGCACCCGGCTGTCGAAGGCTTGGGATGTGCCTCCTGTGAAGCCGCGGACGTTCTGCGGGAGATGCACTCCGTACAGAAGAAAAAGAAGTGCTCTGTCCTCGGAACCCGCTAAGCTGGGTGTTTTTTTGTGTTATAGACACGGGCTCATTGAGCAAAGAAGGTTAAGAGTTGTTTTTAAAGAACGTTAAGGTGTCCCAGACACGCGAGCCTCGTATGAGGCGACAGCTAAATGTGAATTGTGGGTATTCACAGTTTTGAGTAGAACGTAGTCATACGTATCCTTGTATGAACGGGTAGGTCACACAAAATGGTGTGACCGTATAAAGGCATGCATTACACAAGTCGGTGTAATCATACAATGGTGTGGCTACACCGTAACAAGAAGGCACTACGTGGTAGGACTGCCAGTAGTAATGCATATTAACTGGGTATTTCTATTTAATCAGAAAAACCTAAGGTTTTAGTTGTAGGCGGCTCTGCCGCAAATAAAACAAATAAATACAGTTTCAATTCTAAACGGATGAGCGTCCTTGCCTTGGTTAGGTTTTAAGTACTCTTGAAGGTAGCGGAATGCGATTCGCTACGCTCGTACTGTTTCTTGCATAGAACGTCATATCGGTGACCTTAGTAAGCTTTCTATAAGCAAAGAGCTACGGCTGTCCCGCTGCATATATTATTGAAAGTAGCCTCTGTTGCTACATTTGGCTTATTTTGAGCATGCACAATTTGCTATTTACCGTGTGCCTTCTTGACCCAGAAAGTCGATGTCAAGTGGGGACATTCAATTGAGCTCACCTAGCCCGCTTCGTTCTTTGCACGAAAAAGGGCAACGTGATGCCACAACGTTATGTTGCTTAGGTTCATTGTCGTGTGATGCAATATTTGACCCGGCAAACAATTTGATTTCATTACGCGCTGCTCTACCAAAGGCTCTCTCCATACGTTGAGATATGTCGAATTCTAGGACTGAATGGTGATCTCGCTCGGTGGATTTTTGTCACCTTTTTCTAGATACAGAATAGTAGGTGTCCCAATCTACGTTTTCAGTGCTCTGTGAGTGCCTTAAGGACAGGTTCTTTTCTGAAAAATGGCGAGAGGCGTTCCTCCGCCGCTGCGAAGTGATATCGACAATCAACATCCCTGGGTTGCGATCTCCTCACCAAGATAAGTTGCTTCATGATGTTCTGCATCCTAATACCTACGACGTTAAACGGGAGCAATAAAACCTTAATGTTTGCAAAGGGCTGCCGTGTCGATTTAGCTGTGTACATGAACGTAACATGCTCCATCTTCGCAATGAAGTAATCATTCACGACTCGTTCGTGGGTGACTACATGTGCTACCATGTGCAATGGGGCACATAACAATGGATCAGAAAGTTTGCTGTGATATCCACAAAAATTGTGTGCGAGTGCTCATCTCAAAGCGTAATCGCGAGCTTCAACCGTAGTTAGCTGAATGACTGAATTTGCCCAAAGGTACTAACGGTCAGGATTAATGTTGTTCCGAATATGACGTGCTACTAGCAGCTCCCGTGTACCATGGACCTTCTCTGCACATTTTCATCACTCAAATATATCTAATACTTCGTTACATATTAAAAAATTCTAAATTCACCGGAGAGCACCTGAAATTTGTACAGTGGCACCGTAGTGAGTTTAATAGAATGAGAACAATTGTGTATAAAATGAAAGCACTAGACTTTATTTTAGTATGTCTCGTAAAGTTCAACATGATCGATCATAGAACGTCAAGCAATAATCTTAGATTATTTTTACTCGGTATATACTTTGTGTGTGGATCGGATAGTGATTCGCACCGAGTGTATATCTAAAATATTTGAGCAGAAAAGTACTTGTTGCCCAGAAGTACCTTGCTGCGGCACCTGGATTATGCGCGGGAAAGCATTCCTATGCGCGATAATTAACGCAGAATCACCACCTGTCATTTAACAATCGAGGCTGAGGAAGACAGTACCTTTGAGAGAATGAAGTATGATAGCATTTCGTTCCCTCCCCATGACAACTAGACTCGCTAATTAATTATTAAGCCTCGTCTTCAACTACTCTATAAATCAATAGCTCAGCTGTCGAACCAAGATTGGGACAATGTGCATATGTGTTCGGTCGTAATTCAGATGTAGCGTCTCCAAGTACCACTAAGCTGCTCAGCATCTTAGTAATCAACCTCTTTCTCTTAAAGTTGGCTAGCCGTGTCGCCTCTGGCGCGCTCAAAGCGCCTTCTCCTCCTGCACATGGACACTTAAACTGTACTCACCAATTGTTGCAACACCAAACTTTTCCTCGACCGAGGATTTAGAGTGAACGTGGAAGATTCACGTACGAAAAGCATCTGTACGGATATCTAGAGACCGACATCGTTTATGGTACGCCTCCATCGCTGTCCCGGCTATAGGCGTCCGAAACGCAGAAACATAGTCCACTCCGCTGAGAGGAGGGCTAGAAATTTGAGTGTCAAAATGGGCAGTGAAAATACCGCGATTTCTGAAGCAAAAACGTTTCATGCTAGAAATGACTCGTTTTCGGAGGTATGCGCGTGAGTGCCTATGTCATTCTAGCTACTTAGAGCTGCTATTGCAACTTGCTATCTACCTACCGGGAGCATGGACGATCTTGCAGCCATCTTGACCTCTCGTGTCAAAACGGGGAAATTCATTCGTAATCCACAACAGGCTTCACAATTGACGTAGCCTTTCTCTACAGAGATAAATGAAAGCTAGTTTTATTCACGTTGACGTCTGGTCAAGATGTTACTTTAGCAGCGCTTTGTTTTAGCTAGTAATATCCTTCAGGCAAGCCATATCCACTTCTCCCTTTCTCTTCTAGATTTGAGGTGTACGAAGGATCATCTGACGAACGACGCGTAGAAAACGTCGAAATCCGGTACGTGCAGGACGTCATACTGAGCAAAAGATATACTTTAACACATTTCTGTAATCGAGGCCCTACCTTTGTATTCGAGGCTCAAATACTTCGAGAATATCGGGGCTACTGACGTTATGAGCCATTTACTGTTTGGAGTTTAAGAACCATGGTTGCCACAAACTTAACTTTTGGTGTAGTTTTGCTGAATAATGTACCTGAATTTTCGAGGATACCAAAGCGCTTTGGCGAAGGCTGTAAGCTGCGATTTATTCGGAGCAGGGATATGAGATCGATTAAGTTGACAAGCAACGATGTTGCTTAGTGTCTCTAGCTAAGTGAGAGTATAGACGGCATGAAGCTGCAGTCATTGAATTTACGCTCGTTTGACGCGTTTCTCAGAGTGTCTAAATGATGAGTAGGATGAAGTTTTCATGAAAATGTCCTCCTGAGATCAATTAGAAGATATTGTGCAGACAGTTACCGTGATATCAAGAATTTGACCCCGTGATAATATGTCAGAGTGGTTAAGTGCCACGGTCCTTAGGCCGAAACTTCATGAGAATAACCGGCAACTCAGCCGCGGTGCACCTATTCAGCAAAGCAGTGGAGCTACGTGGATATGACATTTGCCTATGAATGACGTGTACGGGGTGAAAAGGGATACGATATGGTACGTACACCTGCATTTTTACTTACAAGTCTTCGATATTCAATTTCACTATTGTTGTAATTTTTGATTTCCAAAGGTGCCAAAGCATTGATCCTTATGAAGATAATATAACTCTGTGAAGAAGAGGGTTGTGGTACCAGTGTGCTGTTGGTCTCACGTCAAGCAAAAGATATAGTTTTTTTGGTGATATAGTCTATGGTTATAACCCAACGTTTATAAGCTCATTTTAGATATAGACCACATTGAAGTGGCGTAGCGAACAAGTGCTTAGTTTTGTGAAAGGATCTCGGTTTCACTTTTCACGGAAGCGTACGATCTCTTGCTCTGTGTGCTGTACTCGCGGACCCATGGTGCAAGATATGCAGCATCCCTGTTGCATATGGTAGAAATTTAAAGTTGATCCAACGGCCGAGTCGTTCAGTACTTAAATTTTATGTGAAATGGAACACTTGTCGTTTGATTACTTGTATCTGAGACAGCAAAATAACTTGGGAGCTAGCTTTTATTGTTGGAGCAATGAAACCAAGAAGAAGCATCACTTGCCTCAGGAGTTCACCTGCTATAGAATCAAGCTGGCAAGACTTCTCAAGAAACGTCCTTACCAAGCGTTCGTGGAAGAATAGATAACACTTATTGTAATGCAGCTGAAATTAAGAGTTAATTATCTCGGCCTTGCTCGACAGCGCGTCGCTTGAAGCATCCAAACGAAGAAGCCTTATGTAATAGAATGGGCACGAAGGGATTACCAACTAGTTGTTTGCGTTGCCTAACCATGTGTATCTGGTGCATTTTAAATTCTTATCCACTATAAGGAAAGCAAAAATATTCAGGACCTGCAAATTCCCATACTCAAGCGATGACGTCACACTATTTCAAGAAGCTGTAACAGTTACCAACTCCATAGATAGTGGGACCTCTCCAGACCTGTTCACCAAATTATTGTTAAGAAGTGGTAGATGTCGCATTAAATGAGTAACAAAGTACCCCTGCCGCGAGCGCCGGATCGGTAACGCAAAAAGAAGTGTATAAGCACGTTGGAGGTCATGGATTGCACCCATTTCGAGAAGAAAAAAGGGGATCTCTTGTCGAGCAGTTCCAAAGCGCGCAGAAATGTTCAATACTTGCTAGTACGTTGCATATTTGTCTTGCTTGCACCCTTCATTGTCATATCAGAGAGAAGAAGGGTCGAGCTCACAGAAAAGGCCGTCTGATGAACTCGAAAAAATGTAAAGCCCAGTTCTTTATGTCGACATCAGACCTAGTATGTCGACACGAGACCCTCTCCTTAAAAGAGCGATTTGCTATAGGAGAGTCACAGTGCGCAGCCTAGGATTCGTGGTTGCTGGCATTATCGACGTAGGCTTTGCAAAACCATGTAAGTATTGATAGATTGATGACTCTTATGCAAATACGTACGACAAGCGACTGTGTAAAGCAGTAGCCAATACGCAGTGGCGTTGATGATGCCAAAACATAAAAAGTATTTGTATATTTTGCAAAGGGAAATCTAATAAAAATGTCAATGGTTCAACGAAACTTCGAACAATTTTTGAGAAATTTGACAGCGCGGGGCGCTGTCTCGGCATAATTCTGGATCTTACATATAATCAAAGTTTAAATATGATGTGGCGTAGCTTTACCAGTCATGTATTGAAAAAAAGAGCCGAAAATTCATGTGCCAAATATGTTCTCCTGCCAGAGCTTTTGCGAGTCATCGTCAGAAAGAGAAGGCGCTTTTAATGTGGGCACATATCTACTACTATTTCGGGTGTAAGAACCGAATATTCCAAAATTTTCTTGCAAAATGCTGATGAGGCTGGTGCAAAGCTAGGAAAGCAGATCTGGTAGTGCGCCGCCATACAATCATGAGAAAGAAGAATGACATTTTTATATTGCAGACTCTATATTGAGACGATCAATAACAACTGTATGTTGTGGCCACCGTAGTGTATCTCTGGCAGGGCCGTAAAGAATTGTTGCGAGCTGTTATCTCACGTGTTATGAATTGTAGCGAGTGTAGGCGACTGGGTATCAGGGCCCTGCATGGGTTGGTGGGTCGTGGGTAATCCACGGACTGGGTCGACC